ACACACACAAACAGAAGCACACACTCACACAGCAATGAATTCTCACGAAAGCAGCTTGAAGTTTGCTCCGCTTCATCACCCAAACTAATTGTCAAAACACCCCATGGCACTTCTTTTGTCTCATTTTGTCTCATCATTAATTACTGTAACTGCAACAGACCTACCTTTCTACTTTTTACTCAGTCTGGTTGCATGGAAACTGCTTTAATAACAATAAAAAAACAGACTATAAACAAAACACGTGTTCCGTAAAGAGCCGCTGTGATAAAAAGTTCAAGGTTTATGGCTGCACTTTCCTGTGTGATTCATCCCTACTGGAATTCAAATATACTGTGTTTTACTACCAAAAATGTTGCCGCTTTTATTCCTACTAGAAAATTTAGGGAAATGTTTCTAGCTTGTTGGTAAGTTTCCGGAGAACTGCACATGACACTGACATGTGAAATTACCAGAGCATTTACTGAATAAACTACACACATCCTCCAGTTTACAAAGGCTGCTGGCATTGAGAGCAGGTCCTTTTTAGTGTCAAGGACCCCCAAATTGAAACATCAGCCCGTGGACTGAGAAGATGTAGTGTCAGGGATCCTTGCCTGATAAAATGTAGTTGTTCCATAAAGAACAAATTTGGAAGATTAAAACCGAAGATTGTGAAACTAAAATCGTGAAATTAAAATACTTCCCATATTTCTGGGGATTCCCTGGAAGTCCCTCTGGGACCCCAGGTTGCATCCTGCACCGACGTAGCAGTGCAGCTGCAAGACGACACATAGCAGAGAGGCTCCAACACCACAACTGCTTCTGTGCCCACAGTCATGTGTCCTGTGTTAGACACTGAACCCCCTACCTGCTCATTTAATTGTAAGCCGCTATGGAAAACATTGTCTGCTAAATGCCAAGAATGTAAATAGCATGTTTACTCACAGTCAGAAGAGCTGAGTCGCTCTCTGTTATTGAAAGAAGACTTTCTTCAAGAGCTTCCACATGTCATCCTCTGCCCCACAAATCATATAACTTTTCCCACTCCCTCTAATTGCTCTGCAGAAACACTCAATTCCTTTACCCACCACTTCCTCATTAAAAAATCATTCTTAGGCCAAAGTGATATTGCAAGAACACCAAGGCCTTGACCTTCGCCCCCCTTACTATTTATTAGTTGTTTCTACAGTGGGTGTAGAAATTTTGACTTAGAAACTGGGGCAGTCAGTAGTCCCCTACATGTGTACTTTAACAAGTGCAATTACAGGCCGACTACTTAACCTCTATAAGCTATCTCGCTGAGAATTACTCCTTTAAGTGTCTAAAATCTGATGTCTAATGAGGCCTGACAGCCTGCCTGGTTCCACTGAGGAGTCTGACTGTAAATCACAGATAAGGTTGTCTGGGTGGTTAATGTGTGAGCTGGTCTTTAGAGACACACACACACACACACACACACACACACAAACACACACACGTCTCTGACTTATCTCATTTCCTGTGTGCCTTCCTCACCTGCTGGAGATAGGGAACCAGTACGACCACTCAGACACCCAATCAGAAATGTCTTCTACTCGCAAACACAGCACATGAAACATGTTTCATAGAATTCCTGTGCCATGATGGTAACTGAAGACATTTTAGGATTCTTTTAAGTTAATGCTACGTGGAGTTAGGGGTGGAAAAAGTACACTTGAGTACTGCGATATTATGTTTTGTGATACTGTATCAATTCTCAAAAATTACACTGTATCAATTTTTAATTAAGAGCTTACATGAAAAGATTCATGGCAGTGGTTCATTTTGTGTTGTCGTGTTTAAACCCCCGCCTGCTAATGTTGCAATCTATCTTTAGCCATTTTACTCTTCCACTCCAACGCTCCCAAAAAGTACTGCTATGATATTAGATGTTACAGGGACTGTGATAAATACAAATGCAGATCCCACTGTTCTGATTGCAAAAAAACTAAATCAATTTTATGCATATGGTGGTTTGTCCTTTGCACAATGACAGCTTTCCTATATCGCCTTGCTTACAGTATTGCAATATATTTTGTAATATATTTAACCTTAACCCCCTGTATCGTAATGCATATCGGATAACAGATTCTTGCCAATAC